TAGTATTGCATTACCTTTCCCGAACTGCCTCAGAGAAGGGTATAGTTTCTTGACAACGTCTAACAGAAGCTATACTTTTCTCTTGGACACCACATATACCCGTAAGAGATTCCCTGTGCCGTGTCGTCATTATAGTATGAAAATTAAGAAGGCTTTCACCTATAACAGTAGTCAATTTGACTTTGAAATTGGCTACTTTGCCAAGTATTAGTTAATGATTGAGTATGAGCAGCTAGGTTATATATGTTGTTATATTAAAGAAAATACAATAATTTGTATTTGATAAAGACAAAGTGTAAGCTATCATCAAGAGCATTGAAGTCTCTCAGAACAATAGGTTGTAAGTTTGAACTTGTGCTTGTTGGAGCCATAAAATGACAGTATTTTGAACAGTTAATTTGAGTTGAATATCATTACAAACCAAATATACTGATATAATATGGAATTTGAAGTCATGTTTAAAAAAAAGGTTGATAGCAATAGCATAACCAGGAAGGTTATGTATTTTGTGAATATGTGGTTTGAGCCAGTTATTGATCATAACTGCAATATCGGCTTTTGGAGCATTGCTGCATGACTAGTAGTATATAAAGTGTTTAGATTTTTGTAATTTTGTTATTGTATTTGTACTAGCTATTTTAGTTTCAGTAATACTAACTATGTTAAGATTGTTTGTTAGACAAAAGTTCTTTCACATTTGCTGTTTAAGGTCTTCATTGTAGCCTCGAACATTGTGAGTACTAATTGATAGCTCAAAAGGTTTAATAAAAGGATTGGATTGTAAATTTCTATCTATTGAGTTAAAGGCCTGAGGTATAATTGTATATCTAGAAGAGAGTATATTGTTTGTATTTATAGCTTTAAAGTATATAGGAGTGTTGTATTTGCTTTGTAATTTAAATTTAATATTGGAGTTAGTAGTTTGGGAATTAAATTGGAATTTAAAAGGTATATCGAAAAAATTAGTAGTAAAAGGAATATAATAGTATAGCAGAATAGTAAGCTCATATGGTAGATAAATGTGGGCTACAGTTTTGTTTATCTTTAGTATTATCATAGAAGTATTTAGTAGTTGAGTGAAATTTATTTGTTGCAAGTATTGAAAAAAAGTTTTTATAATAGATTGGAAATATAATGAAGAAAGATGGTGATATTAGAGAAATTTGTTATAGCAGATGTCCAAATTATAGAAATTTAATAATATTGATAATAATTTGAATTGTGTATCTTCTATAGGATCATTCACTATTTTAAGCTTAGTTTTCACAACTGTGAAGAGTGCCATAGTCTGTTCTGTACATTGGGTCAGGTCATCATTATTTTGGTTCTTCATGTAAATAGACTTACCTACCTGTCTACTTATATCATTCTTTTTTAAGAATGGTCTACTAAATGTAGAGAACATCATTATCTTAGAAGCGGTGGCTGCATTTATGAATTCTACAAAAGAAAATTTTTACTATAATAGATAAAAAATTTTGTTTATAATATTTTAAAATTTTTTTCTTGATTAATTAAAAAATAAAAAAGTTTAATTAGTAACATATATCAATTTTAGATGAAAATTTTAAAAAGATATATAAAACTATATAAAAATAATTTACATATACTCTACTCTTAAATATTAAGATTTTTTATATACTTTAAACTTAAAATCTAAATCTAAATATAGATTTTAAATCCAAATATAATGCAGAAAATCTATATCTGACAATCATATGACTATGAAGACATATCAACTTTAAAAAGCATTAACTTTTTATAGAAGCAATATTTTGAAAAACTGACCAGTAACTTGTTCTTTGTAGAAAGCTCTACAAAGTTACTAGTCAGTTTTTTAAAATATTACCTTTATAAAAAGGTATTGCTTTTTAAAGTTACTATGTTTATACAAAATTAAAATGCTATGTTTATCATATGCAAAACATTTAATTGGTCAGTGTCAATTATATGAAAAAATGATCTGATTTACAGGAATAAGAAACAGTGAGCAATAAGAGCTTTAATGTAGTAATAAAAGCTTATAAGTAATGCAGTACATGCTTAAAAAAACATATTGTAAATGGGTTTGCAAAAATATAGCATTAAAAATGCAATATTTTGAGCTTTTTTTTTTTTTTTTAACATTAATTAAAATAGATGGTTTGTTTAACTATTTACTTGTAATTAACAAATGCATATTTATATATTTATTGCATACATATAAATTAATTCAGAATTAAATATTAGTTACATTGCAATATTAATTAAAGTGGCTTCACTTTACTTTGTTTATCATTGTACAAAAAAAAATTGATAGATTCACAATTATTACTGCTTGATCTAATTGTAAAATGAAAATTTGGTCTAAAAATACAAATTTACTAGAGCAACTAGTTAATAAAAATTTTAATAAAAGCACATATAAAGCTATTTATTTTCTCTCTATCATTCCAAGTTAGGTGTATATATTAAAGTTAGTATAAGTATTTAAATTAATGTTGAAGTAGTCAAGGTTGGCTGCAATTACCTGTCAATAATTTAGTGCTATAACTATAACTATTCCATCAATATCAATAAGGTAAATGTAAAATAGATTAACAATTCTTCAAGACTAGTAAACCTTATCTTGTTTGAAGATTGATTCCATGTTTTTTTGCTTAAAAATACTTAATGCCATATAGGTGCATAATAACGTACATGGGTATTATTTTGAAAATTTCATTTTTTTTTGAAAATTATATATTTAACTTAAAATAATGCCTTATGCATGTCTCAAAATAATGCACCCTGCATACATAGTCTCAGAAAAGTTTTTAGTATTATAGTTGTAACTTTTTATTTTAAAATTAGGATAATGATTTAAGTTATCATATATGTGCATTATAAAATAATATGCAGGGTCTTGAAATAACACACAGATATGTATTATTACATACATATGCAGTTTTCAAAGTAAAAAATTGTAAATATGATAATATATAAATAAAAGCTGTACAGAAAAGACCTATAAGTAAAAATTAATATCATCTCTATACCAGCTGATGAATTGTTATATAATAGACTTATTGAAAACATATATATAAATAAGTGATTTTAGAACACTGACTGGTGTTTTTAATACATACTATCATATAACAATTCTTTAACTGGCATAGTGATAATGTTAATTTATAACAGGTTTTATTTGTAAAGCACCTATATAGTTTTTTTTTAATAATACTCACATATAGAAGCTATTCATCTAAGACATAAAGATAAATTAGCCATAAATTGCTTAATAATAAATCTCAAAATGGATTATACATATCTTTTTTATTGCTCTACACAAATCATACTATGTTCTGCCAAAACATTATTTTATAAATTGCATAAATTTGTTGATTTATTAGTTTGTTGATTTGTTAGTTTTACATTAATTCATGATGTCTCATAACTCAAAAAGACAACAACAAATAAACAATTTATCTAGAAAAAGAGGTCACTTTGCAGCTCAAGAGGTGGAAACACATGAAATAACTGTTATGCAAGACAAATTTACATTAAGAACTTGTGAAGAAAATAAAATCACAAATGAATAAATTAAAAAAGTATATATTAAAAATTCAAGAACAACTCTTTGGAAACAAAATAAAAAGAAAAAAGAAGAAGAAAATGTAAGAGAAAATTGAACTGCTGATATATCTTTCAATAATAAAGCACCAAATAATACATTACTCAATGCTAAAGCATTGAGTAATACACTATTCAATGATAAGACTTTGGCACCAAGTAATATATTAATTGGTGCTAAAACTTCAGCATCAAGTAATATATTACTTGATGTTGAAGCTTTAATATTAAGTAATATATTACTTGATGTTGAAGTTTCAAGATCAAATAACATATCATTATTACAACTATCAACAATCTTACAAAACTCTCTATTAGCTATTAACATTACAACAATCCTATGTATATGTTTAGAAAAAGTTAATTAGCAGTGCTTAATAAAAAAATTATTAAAAACATCAAAAAATAATATGCCTATATATGATTACTTGCATCTACTAAGTATAAGCCAATATATACAGTTATTATTAGAAGAGTAAGATAAAATAAATGTTAGTTTTTTTGTTGCAAGAACAGTGTGAAATAAAGTAACTATACAGCAAAATGTATTCTAAAATAAGAAAATAGTTATATAAAATCAGATGAACTTTTTTCTTTCTATTAAGAAAAATATAAAAAAGTTATAGGTTTGCTTGAAAATAAAGTTTTCTTAAATAGATGTCAGAAATGGTTATAGCAGCAATCTCCAGAGTCCTGCTCTTCTAAGGCTGTAAACATGTATATTGAAGAAGCATTATTACCAAAAATACCAAAAATACTATTTCAGAAAAAATGTGTTGAATATATATGCATACTTTGAGATACAAGCATGATAAGAGAAAAAAGAGGTGTATTATGATAGACATGAGTAGCCAAATGTAGTAGCATATAGAAAAAGATGGTTAAAAAGAATGTTTAAATACAAAATATATATAAAAGACTTTGTTGATAATATGTTAAAGATAGTAATAAAACCTGAACTTGAATCTGATAAAAGAAAACTAGTACAAGTGATACATGATGAATGTCACTTTTATGCAAATAACAGATAGCTTAAAATTTGAACCAAAAAAGATAAAGATGTTTTACATCCAAAACACATAGATATTCCATAATGGTTTCAGCTTTTATGTACCAATGTCATGGGTTATTGCAACTGTCTGAAGAGCAATTCTGGATAAATTCACATATTAAATACAAGGAAGCTTATGTTCTTCACTCTGTACAAGCTAATAGTAGGGTTGTTAATGAGTTGGGTTGGGTTGGGTTGATCCAATTCTTAACCCACTCCAGTAAATTAGACTTACTTCAGCATTTTGCTCTGGTTTGCTTCATAGCTGCTTCAGGTTGCTCTAGGTTGCTCTAAACTTAAAAATAAAAATTTAAACCTACTCCAACTTGGGTTAAGTTCTACTCTGGAGTGCTCTAGAGCAAGCTACTCCATTAACAACCCTAGCTGATGGATATTGGAAAGCAGAACATATATTAAACCAGGTTTTTTTGTTTTCGATTTTATTTTATTATTATTTTCTTATTATTTTTTATTTTTTTTATATTTTATTTTAAATTTTTTTTATTTTTATATTTTTGTTATTAATTAAACACAAACTTTTAATAAAATTTATTATCTATAAATTAGCTTTTAAAAAGAGCAATTTCTATATTTGAGGTATTGCATTCAGAATGTGTAAGTGTTTTCTGTTTTGATTAATCGACAAACCATAATGCTATAGCAGAAAATGCACTGGTCACAATGAGAATAAACAAAGGTCCCAGAGATACAAAACATAAGATGTGTAATAGTTGGTATATTAATGAATATAGAAAAAGACATGTTTAAGAAATGGTATTCCTGGATAATTATCTTGTATTTGAATTAAGAGAGAAGCCAAAAGGAATACAACAAGTACTTGAAAAACATAACCTTTGGCCAGTCAAAGATGTAAATTTGGTGTGTGATCAGTGTTCCAAAAAAGGTGATGATGATTTTGAAGAATTAAATTGCTGTGCACAGTGAATTATTTTATTACAACCAGATTTCTGTGAACAGTAATTAATTTTGGAAGAAGCATTTATTAAAGCAGAATATATTTTTGAACAATACTCAAAATTCTACTATGAATGCAATTTTATTAAATGATACTAGGGTTTCTTAAAATGAAAACTTAGAGGCATTATGTAGCTATAACTATAATGACTTACTAAAACGAATTCCAGAAGTTCTCAATATTATCTCAATATCAACTATTCAAAAGTTTGTTTGCAAATCATAAAGGTATATGGATGCTTATTATAAGGGGTTGGAAGGTAAGATAGCTGAGTAGGCTGTCACTAAGTATAAATCACATCTCACTTGTCTGAAAATATAGAGAGAATAATGTAACAATCACAAGTTAAACATAAAACAATTATATGTTGCTATTCTTATCAGAGTTTTTCTATTAATTTTGCACCATCCAACTAGTATGCTCTTTCAGATATAACATGCTGATCATATATTAAAAAAAAAGTATTTAAAAAAAGTATTGTTAAATCAAATCTAATTGCAAAAAAAAAATGTTTTACAAATAGATGCCATCACAATGCAATTATACTTCATATATATTTCTTCAGATTTCTTTAGTATATATTTACTTTAAAACCAATAGATCAATAAGATATTTTAATAAGGTTATCTATACTAAAATAGATCTATTCTTTTATATATTCTGTAAATCTTCGTTAATCTGGTCTAACTAAAAATGAACTTTAAATTAGATAAGTTACTCCTATTATACATCATTTGATTGCTTCAATATTAGATCAGGTCCTAATAGCATCCTAATAGTAATTTTTAATCACATTCTTTATGAATTTGACTGCTAGACTGCAAGATTTTCACATATAGTTTATAAGAGAAATTGATAATTGATTAATAATTTGATTGGTCAAATTTATTTATAATTATGTAAAAATTGATCATCAAAAATTGAACCATTTCACATGATTGTTAGGTATAAATTTCTTGCAGCATATAAATGTTAAACCCTAATATAGATTCTAAACTCAAATATTAATTTCAACTCTAAATATAGATCCTAAACTTAAATATATATTCTATTATTAATATATAATATCAAATTTAAAAACTAATTATATTTATTATATTTAATAATATAAAAATTTAATAAATTATTATTTTAAATAAATATTTAATAAATTATTATTTTAAATAAATATTTTATTTATTTTTATAATAGTTTTATTATTATAAATAAATATATATAATATTCAGATTTGGATATTTTACTAATTTTAAAATCTCTAATAAAAAAATTTAAAAAATATATTTTAATTAAGATTCTAAGGTCTGTAACTAAATATAATATAAAAGTATAATTACAACTTAATTTTTATACAATTCAATCAACTAAAATTGTTGTAAAAAAATCAATAATCTATAAATAATTATATAGTTCAGTGCAAAAATATAGATATATAAAGATTATTACATGATTTTTTTTTTTGATAAAAAATCTGATAATCAAGTCATATAAATATGCAAATAATATAAAAAGTAAAAAGAGATCCAAACTTTAAATTTTGCAAAAAATATTTATTATTTTTTTTTCAATAAATGACTTGCAAAAGGATTGAAGTTTGTTAACTCCAAATGAAAAAAAGATAATTCTTTGTGTTTATTAATACATTTTAGATATTAGACAAGGCCAAAAGCCATAACAGCATATATCACTATACAACAAGGTTGCTACAGCTCTTGATATTGGAGAGGCCACAGTTTTTTATATAGTCTCTGAGCAAAATAAAAAAAAAAATTAAAAAATTATTAGTAAAAAAAACTCTGAATAAACCAAAAAATCAACTTGATGATAATTTTTCTGAGCTTCTGCACAGTATTATTCTTGTTGCAAACTCTTTAGAAACTCCTTTTTCGATGCCTATATTACTACAAAAACTTGAAAAAAATAGTTACATACTCTTAAAATGGCAACTACTTTATGTACTCCATGAGTTGAGATACTATTATAATTATAGAGAATGTAGAAACATATTGTATAAATTATCAATAAATGTTGCTTTTTATAATTATTATTTGTGATATTATTTTGAAAACTTACAAGAAGAAAACAAAGTCCCAATAAAATTAGAGATTTTTTTGAATAAATTATACTGTCATTTATACTATACTATGAACCTTATATAGGTACCAAATTATAGTGTTGTATATTCTCTGAAGCATAGTTCTTTAATTGTTATTTTTGAAGTAATTATTATAATGTATAATTGTAATACAAATAAGTTGCTTGGTGAAGTTGTTCCTAATTCTCTTTTAATATAGAATTTAGCAATTAAGACACCTTCATCAAGAGAAAGAAAAAAAATGAATGCTGAAACTTGGAATAATATCTTTGAAGTTGTTCAAAATTCTAACATTATAGCAAATTATATTGACAATTATAAAAATTTTACAATATCTTTAAAGATCTTTTTGATAAACTTTGTGCCAATATTAAAGAATATTATAGGTTAGTAGAAATTTATATAAATGATGCTTAATATTATAAACATCAGACTAAAAAAATATCATTGTCAAATTTAAAAAAAGCTGCATTAATTGCATAATTATTATTATATAGTATTAATATTTCAGAAAATTCTATTAAAAGAAATTGTATAAACTAGTAAAACTATACAAAACTAAAGTTCTTTTTACAAGTGTTCAAATAGCAAAAAAATATGGTCATACTTTGCATTATATTCTACTCTACTATTGTAAGCTTCAACTAATTAAAGAAATTTGGTCTGTTGTAAAAGATGAAGTTGCTAGAACTAGTTTCTATCCAAATCTTTTAGCTATTAGAGATAAGTTGTTGCATGCCTTTCAAGAAAAAGTCACTTTAATGTTATTGTTAAGTTTTAGAAAAAGTCACTCAATAAGGTCATCAAATACAAAAATTTAGATAACAATATAATATTAGTTAAAAGTGATTGTAATAATTTTAAAATTGAAGAAATTGATGATTAATAAAAATTTTTGTAAACAATTAATTTTTCAATAAAGTTTGCATTAAAATAAATCTGTGAATCTGAGTAATAAATAAATACATTTAAATGCTTATATTAAATTAAAAAAATTTTTTTATTATAAGTATGTCACATATCTACATTGTTGTACTAGACTATATTTAATTATAGTTAATTGCAATTTTTACTTTATTGTAAATTATAATATAAAATTAAAAAATTGAAAAAACTAATTACATTCAAATACAGAAATACATTATCATTAATTATAATTATATCAAAATGGTTTGTTAAATTTAAATAGCTTGTTTCTTTTTTTTAAATATTAAATATAATCTAGAATATAAATTATATAGTATTTTTTTGGAACTTTAATATTTATTAGACTAATTAAACAAAAAATTAGAGTGCTATGCTGGCGTATATATCTTTGTAAAGAAATATAATTAATATTCTTGTAGTTTGCACAATTTGTAAATTTTGCAATTCAAAAAGTAATTATTTAATTATTTATTTTCTTATTAATTACAATTTTGAACATCCTAGTTTAGGTTGCAGATAAACTAGTCTGAGTTCTTATTTTTGCATGTAATTTTTATTTTGTTACAAACAATCTTAGTTTATTTTAGCATTTCTATACTAAAATATACAGTTAAAATTATTAATAAAAATATGAGCAAGGCCTCACCTTAACATCAAAAAAAAACAATTTTGAACATTAAAATTAGCATTGTTAATTAGTTTTTTAAGATTAAATCCCAAATGGTCTGGTCTAATTCTTTAGAGATTTAATCCTTAAACTACATAAAAACATAATATATTTTATAAAATTTAGATTTTAAATTGAATTATTATAACAATACAAAGTTAATTTAATTAAATAAATTTGTTTAATAAATTTAATTTAAGGTCTAATACAGAATCTAAGCTTTATAAAATATATTGTATTTTATATATTATATTTTATATAATTTAAGGACCAAATCTATAATTGAACTAGACTAAATTTGCAATTTAATATCTCTAAATAATTGGGTTTAAATAATTGCAATTAACTGCTTTTATAATCAATTATTTATACAAGGTTTACTTTTTAAAAAACATTCTATATAGCTATTTATAGTAAGTAATGATAAAACTTAAATTTTAATTAGTTTATAATTTAAATTCACAATCTATTTAAAGAATATTCTATATAATCATTTATAGAAATTAAAAATTCAAGTTTTATTCAGTTTTATTATTTAAAATCATAAACTATTTAGAGAATATTTTATAGAATTGTTTATAATAATTAAAGATTTAAGTTTTATTTAGTTTTGTTATTTAAAATTAAGACAAAAAAATGTAAATTGAAATGCAAAAAAATAGTTATATAAAGTTTAAAAGTACAAAAAGAACAAAATATTTATAAAACAAGTTTTAAAAATATATAAATTAATAATTTTATCTAATTTATTCAAAAGTTAAATTTAATAAATATTAGTAATAAAATTATAACTGCATTAGTAAATTTAATATAGTTTATCACTAAAAACTGTAATCTACTAAATTATATATTTGTTTTAAAAAAAGTTATATATACAAGCATTTTATATAAGATACAAGTTGTATACTATGTTTAATTGTATACTTATTTGTTTGAAGAATACCTTTAGCCAAAATAGTGACAAACATTAATCTAATTAGTATACTGGCTTATTATAAAAAAAAAACAAAATTAAAAATTCTATTATTATAGATCATAATTGCATTATATAATTGCCTAATTTAAATAACAAAAGTATTAGTATTATATAAATTATTGTTCTAGCTAATTAATCAAATTTTTTAATCGATTAAGCATATGCTCTATTATTATAAATCATAATTGTATTGCATTTAAAAAGTGCAATTGTCTGATTTAAATGACAAAAGTATTAGTATTAAATTACTATTTTAGTTAGCTAATATTGTTTGTTGCAAATAACTTAAATTTTCAAATCAATTAAA